GATTCGACGCGGAAGAGCCACTTTGTGACAAGCCCGGAATAGAATGATGTGTTTGACCAAAGAAGATCAGCACATCTTTGACTTCATCGGAAAAACATGGCATGGTGCTACTGCAAGACATGTTGTTTTGGCTGGACATGTTCCAATGAAGGGCTCTGACCAGTGCCCATCCTTTGCTCAGACAAGTGCAAGAGCTTGATCCCTACTGATTTGCAGAGCCATACATGTCTTTTTATAAGAAGCCGTAAGGCCCAAGTCAGAGGTTTCATCAATCGATTTGTTGTGGGAAACTCGGACCACTTGCATGTGCTGGTTCCACCGCCAGGTACATCGAAGGATTGGCTGCGACGCATCCTTTGATCTTGGGGCTGGTGATCTTCGTAGGCCAAGTTACCGAAAGCCTGTGCCGCGATTGTTGTCAGCAACTCAGCACTGTTCTCAACAAGATTGAACTTCAGAAGGAAAACATTGGTCCCGACATTGACCGGAATGTGATACAAAGCAGGATTCGCATGGAAATCAGTTTCAGATGCTCACCAACCACTCCATCACCCCATCACCCCGAACGAGAATATCTAAAGCTAAATTCCGAAAGCCAGCCGATAGGCTAGGCTTGAGCTTTTAGACCGAACGAAGTGAGTTAAGGGGGTGTGGCGGGGGGGTAGGAGGCGAAAAGGCACCATTTGAGAGGGTGAACCCGGAGCTTAGCGAGAGCGCTCCAAAGCTACGGTCAGAAAAGCAGTGAAAATGGGGTCTGGTGATGCGAGTGATGCAATGGACGCCGAGTAGTGCATCATTAGCATCACGAAGGGCTGTGGAGGCTATTTGGACAATGGGCATTGAGCACTCCTAGTCTCTACTATACTTGAGAAGTCTGGTTGGATGTATTGGGGCCAGTATGGTAGTTGGTTGGCAGCGACGAGTGCCTATCAGAAAAGGGGCCCGTGTAGATAGCAACTTGGTGGGGTGAAGAGATTGCTGTTTGAGGATGGGTTATAGTCACGGATCTGTGGAATATTTTTGGATGACGGTTGGTGACACCAATGCTGAGGCATATAGTTCCTGCCATCCTCCTAGTCATCCTTTCAGAGAAGTCTGGTTGGATGTATTGGGGCAAGTATAGTCTAGTAGTTGGTTGGCAGCGAATGGCAGCGACAAGTTGCTATCAGAAAAGGGGCCCGTGTAGATAGCAACTTCGTGGGGTGAAGAGATTGGTGTTGTTTAAGAACTTGTTATAGCCACGGACCTATGCAATATTTTAGGATGACGCTTGGTGACACTCATGTTGAAGCATACAGTGCCTGCCATCGTCCTAGTAAGCATGTGTTACTTAGATGGTTTCTTCTTTTGACTCTCTCGTCTGGCGGCTGCTGGCTTTCGTTCCCCCCCTTCTCAGGTATATACCAAGGGAGGCTAATATGTATATTACGAAAGCCAGCCGATAGGCTAGGCTTGAGCTCTTAGAGCGAACGAAGTGAGTTAAGGGGGTGGGGGGGTGGGAGGGCGCGAAAAGGCACCTTTTGAGAGGGTGAACCCGTGGCTTACCTGGCGAGAGCGCTCCAAAGCTACGGTCAGAAACGCAGTGAAAATGGGGTCTGGTGATGCGAGTGATGCAATGGACGCCGAGTAGTGCATCATTAGCATCATGAAGGGGTCTGGAGACAATTTTTCTAGTCCTGAGCAGGGCATAGGGACTGTGTAGCTCGGATCATACCAAGAAGGACCAAGCAACAAAGAGTGAGTATGTCCAGTTGGGTGAGGTAGAGGCTTGGGGATAAGAGCGCCGCAAGAGGAGAAGCAAGAAAGCTGCAAGCGTTCAACACTGCATGCTGTGCTCCGATCTTGATCTCAGTCGCAGTGATACCAGCTCCACGAAACTACAAGCTTTCAACTATAGGTGCTCTGCTATTTTTTCCTCCCAGCCCTGCTCTCTATAGGGCTTCGCATTGATGCACGAAACCCGAAACACATTTCAACACAACCACAAAAACCATTTTCGGGCATCATTCTCCTGGTGTTCACCGACGTTTATTTTTGCACGGATTCTCAAATAGAACACCAACAAGGGACGCTCCAGAAGGTGCCGCACCAAGCAAATCAAGAAGACTAAAAACATTCAACACTTCATGCTGTGCTCCCATCTTCATCTACGTCGCAGTGATACCGGCTCCACGAAAACTACAACCATTCAAGAATGAGTGCTCTCCTCTTCTTTTTCTCCCAGCCCTGCTCTGTATAGGGCTTCGCATTGATGCACGATGCCCGAAGCACACATGAAAACAACCAAAACCAACCTTTCGGGCATCCTTCTCCTGGTCTTCACTGACGTTTATTTTTACACGGATTCTCAAATAGACCACCAAAAAGGGACTCTCCGGAGAGCACCGCGCCAGGAAAATCGAGAAAACCTAAAACATTCAACACTTCATGCTGTGCTCCGATCTTGATCTACTCCATGTTGATACAAGCTCCACGAAAGCTAAGGCATTCAACAATAAGTGCTCCGCTATTTTTTCCACCCAGTCTTGCACTACCATATTGGTCTCTCGCCTGCTTTCGTCCTCTCCTTCTCAGGTATATATGCACACATATGATTATATGACCATATATATATATATTCCTTCTTGTTGCGGAATTTGCGCGAGAATGACTTCTGGATTTTGCCCGCCTTGCCCGCCTTCTTTCTTCTGGCTCAATTACTGTACTTAGAGCCAAATGTAGATAGGCCTAGTTGGTCCAAAGCAGAGGTTTCATGCGTTTCCTTGCAGTATTTACAGGAGCATGGCCGAAGGGATTCTTTTCAGTTGTTTCTTTTTGTAGGTGCTCTCCAGGATACTGCGGGAAGTAGCTTTCTCACACGAATCCTTCTTACTGCTTCAATCGCTCAGATCCAAATTCAACTCTCGCTGTTCACAGCTTTGTGGCAAGACTGTTCAAGCAATGCCAGCTCCTCAGAGTCCTTTGAAGGCAGGTCGCGAAGGGACTGGCACGTCTTGGCGAGCGCGATCCTGTAGTTAGACCAGCCAGCGGGTTGCTTTTCCCAGTCTTCACAAACTAGCCACACACACAAGTCCAAGTGGAAAGGCGTTTGAGCAGCTTGTTTCTCGCCTCTGTCTGTGGGATTGTACAAACTTGCAGCCCCCTTTCAACAGTTTTGTAGTCAGTTTTCCACTGCCGCAAGCTGAAGCTCCGAAGAACACAACAAGTCTCTCGCAGCTACAGCAAATTGCTTTGACTCATTTTCCCTGCAAAGTTGATGGATGCCTATATTGATGACATGTAGCGTAGAGGCATAGACAATTCTAATGCTACTGTGAGTCAATACAACCTGCTGCTGCTGCTCGCAGGCCACCCAGTCTGCCACTGCCCTAAAAGCGGCAGCATGTGCCACGCTGAACGACACAGGCACTTTTGAAAGCTTTACTGTATGGATTAGGCATCGTTTGGCTTTGATATTGCAGGTCCTGCAACGATTGTTTTGCATAAGTTCAATTTCTAGGGCTATATACATATATGTATATATGTACTAGTATATATGTGTTTGTATCTATCTCTCTCTCTATATATATAGATGCATACATATATATTTTTATATTTTATATATGTATATAGTTACGTCTTTGGACAGGTGGCTATGTGAACAACGCCACCATGAAACCAGGCGAAGAAGCTGCGAAGGATGACAATTTGATTTTGCTTCACTGTGATCGCTTGAGGTTTGTCAGCGAGGTTGATGCAGTTGATGCGGGCTTAAACAATCAAGGGAACGCCGCCGTAGTTTGCGGCTGTGGGTATTTTGCACACGCTGGTCAACGGAAGAGTTCAGGGACTGCTGCCCAAAGGTTCTGACAGCGGATCCGGGCATTGCGCCGCCACTGCCACGCAAAAACCCAGTTACTGTATCTGGATTCACTAGACGACTCTTGACATCTTTTGTGGCCAGTTCTTTTGGTATGAATTCTTTGAGTCGTCTCCACAAGGAATCCAGCGCCTGTGTACCTGACTGGAAACCCGCAAACCACCCCTAAAAGCAACCTGGCGACCCAAACCCCCCCCAAAAAAATAGAACAAGTGACACCCCGAAAACCCACCCCAAAAGGAATCCAACACCCATTTGAACCTAAACATTGACAACAAGTATAGCAACATCCCCACAGCAGCTAACGGCGGCGTTGCCTTAAACAAGTGCTCGATGTCAAGTTCTTGAAAGGCCAGTGTAGCCTCAATCTATCCCGAGACCTATCAAATCTAGTCTTTATCCGCTCTTTTTGAGAGGCCTACATTTTGCCCCCAAGTTGCAGCACAGCATAATAGCTGAAAGATCTTGAGCAGCACCCTTCAAGAAGAACAGGTGGAATTCTTGTCTTTGCTTACAGGACTCATGATACTTGGTGACAAAGAACATCCACATTCAGAGAGTCCTCAGGAACGTCATGCCATAGCTACAGCCTTCCAGTTTGCTATTGTTCAAAGCGTTTCCACTTCATCAAGTCAAGAACTAGGAGACGATCCATTCCAAGGAAGAGCGCACCACCTTTGAAGCCTCAGGCAACAAGACGATGCCGTCGAGCAAGAAGGTAACTATGCTTAAGCCAGAGCCTCATGCTTTGGACAAGCAGGCTTTGACTTGCTGATTCGCAGGCATAATTCAGTGAGGATTGATTGTCAAAAGATCTCGAAAGTAACAAGCTGATTCGGTGGGCAGTGCAAAGGGACAGGCCGCATTTCTGAGGCAGATAGAAACGATTTGGGATGAACCTGATGACAAGATGCATGAGCAGAAAAGGACACTTCAGGGCAGTCAGGGCAAAGCTGGAGCCAGCTTGGCACTTCATCAGCAGTCATGCTCTCTCCCTCTCACCCCAGCTTTATGTGAGTTTGTTTGCACTTAGAGAGCACATTTATTTAGCACATGAATGACATGAGTAATTGCAAACCAATTTTGTGTGACTCAGCTCCTCTCCAGGAAGCTGAGATCATTGGCGAGCCGGGTAGACCGCATGGCAGGAGTGGAGCTTTTGAGCCTTGAGACCAAACTCTGTTTGGTTTTTGGTTGACATCCGCCTAGAGAATGACCAGATCACTGTAGCTCGAGCGTTCCCACTTGACTCACTTGACAGTATCCCATAGAAGGTGCATAAAGGGCATGAGTATCCCACTTCACAAGTAGGGGGTGAGTCCGGTACGACGGCACAGACTTTCCTTGACTAAGTTGAAAAGGCCACGCTTGATTTGCTAAATAAAAAATAGACCAATTCTTGTTTCTACTAGCTTCTTGTTACTACTAGTAAGGCACTTGTTACTAGAAGCGATGCACTTGTTCCTAGTAGCTTATTATATTTGTTGTTTCTTTCATGGCAAAATTCATGACAAACAATGACCACAATGCTGTGACAGTCAGCATTTTTCCGAACGACCCTCTACATCACTATTGAACACATGTGCTTCTAGTCCAGCTGCGAGGTGTCTTTGAGGAGGAGACTCGAGCACGACAGGAGCAGCGTATGAAACTCAAAGTGAAGCCCGCTGCTTTGAGGATTGTGGGGATCAAGCACATAGAGAAAGGATGGCGCAGATGGAGAACCCCCGGAATAGCTGACAAGATGCAAACTTGCGTTTCCGTCACCTGCATGAATCAATGAGATAACAACGAAGTCTCGGAAATACGAGCAAGGCCACTTGATGGATGAGCTCCATGGGGAGCAGATGAAGCGCATTGATGAGATAGAGGATGGAGATGGAGAGAGTCCAGAGAGTCTGATTTAGTCTCGAGTGAGTTTTCAATCCATTCTAATGCACGAGGCGCAAGAGGCCCTTTTTCATTTTTGTCCTCTATGTTCAGCAGGTTGCTCAGCTTTGAACACTAGATCTACTTTGCCTGTTCTTTGGTGCGTGAACCCCAAACAACCCCTAGAAGAAGTTGTGGACACCTTGGGCACCAAGTTTTGACGCACCCCATGACAGTTCGACTGCCCAGGAAGAGCTGGACCAAGCCATGAAAGAATTGAAAGCCTACATTGAGGAATTCATGCAAAAGATTCATCCTCAGCAAATCAGACCAATCATGAAATTTGTCATGGGACACAATCATGCTCAGAAAATGCGCCAGCTTAGGTTCAGAAAGGAGCTAGATGACACCTTCACAGCATTGTTCAGTGGCTTGGCAGATGTGACATTGTCTTTGCTTGTAGTGGCCCAAACATTGTGGGTAGGTACTCGCTTGCCTGGTTTTCGCAATTCTATAGTGGTGTTATTTGTCAGACAAACCATGGACACCTTGGACGGCACCATGACAAAGTTTGTGCCATAACCTTACTCTTGCTTCAAACTCATTTGCCTCTGTTTTGTCATGGGTTGCGACTTCTCTGATATTGCTGTACTTAGTACTAGGAGCAAGAAGCTACTAGGAACAACGGGCATCGCTACTAGGAGCAAGGGCATCGCTACTAGGACGCTACTAGTAGCTATTTGCTACTAGTAGTAATGCCCTTGTTACTAGTAGCGATGCCCTTGTTACTACTAGCAAGGACGCTACTTGTAGCTTAATCCGGCAGATCGCCTTCCTCTTGAGGTGAACTGCGGGTGCAGGTGGAACGTATCACTCCTCGAATCGCTGCGCCAGGAGCCCGAGAAAGTCGCCAGCCGTCGTGCCGAGTCATGAGATTCCATGACCTCCTAAGACCTTTTTGAATCTTGAAGGTTACCAAATCCTTTTATAGCCCGCTCCTACTTAATTAAGTAGGCGCCTACTTAATTCAAAAAGGAGAAAACAAGCTAATAGCCTATAGCAATACTTCAGCTTTTAGTTATTGGACGCAGGATAGCTCACACTTCGTTAAGGAAGCTCCCCCCCCGCCCGACAGTGGGGGGATCTTCCTTGAAGAAGCGCTCGCACAAATGATTTGGTTCCTAGATTTTTAGGGAAACTTAACTTGTGTTACACGGCAAGTGGCTCTGAGGCTAGAAGCGCGAGGCCGAGTCTTGCGGAATGGCATTGAGGAGGAGCGGGTGTCGAAGGAATACGTGGATTTGCGTCCAAAGTAATTTGCAACGATATTTGTTGATGTATCCCAATCCAAGGCTTCGCTGGCAGGGATTACTTTCTATATCTTTCTATGTATACTGTATATAGTATATATGTATATATCTATATCCACACATACACACCATGTACATTACATGCCTGCAGTACCCCCGCCCCAACAAGACCTATCTTTGGAGTGCTTTGTCAGGCGTGAACGCGTGAACAATTCCCGACAACTATTTCTCATGTCTAACAATAAATCACACATGTATGGCTCTTGCTCATACAAGTGCTTTATGAATGACCCGCTAGTTTGCAACCATGGTCTGCAACTTCTACTCTTTGGGTCACGGTTTACCAGATGCTGCTTAGAAATCTCCCAGAAGCCCAGAGGAATGTCTTGGCGGTCACGGATGGTCACGGTCACAGTTTGCTTTACCAAGGAGCGGCAAGACCGCATCCGGCACTATGCTGAGATCCTCGTGCCAGTTAAGGCGTCGAATCGGGAGCATCAGATGATTTTGGGATATTTTGGGCAGATGTTTGTGCAAGGTCTCAGGGTCGACTACTCATTAAAGTCTCAGTGGGGACACAGGACATGGACTTTTCGAAGCTTTAACCTTCAGACAAGGCTTAAGACGGCCACAAAGGAGAGCACGATCTACATGAGACCTGCCTGAGGCACAGATCGCGAAGATAGAACAAGGCCTCAACAGAGAGGAGAAGGTCAGACAGGTTCCACCTCCTGTGCCTTCAACTCTTGGCCAGCCATTCATCGTGATCCATGGCAATATCGGTTTGACAGTAATTATTTGACGTTTCAGAATTTAAATGACAGAACATTTTTGCGTTCTATTGCGTTTGGCATGTTGTTTGCTCTCCTGATGCAGCCAGCAGCATGGCATATTCAATCTTTGGCTCACAATACTGCACATTTGAGAAGGCAGCAGCGCCTAGACCTAGAACAGATTGAATGGTATCAATGGTCAAGCTGCTAAACGGTCAAGCTGCTAATGCCTCACTGTTGTTTGGGTGAGAATCAAGAGCATCGAACTATTGACTGAAATTGACAGACCATTTGACGGAGCCATTCCTGGCGGAGTGGCCCAAGCCCGAAAGACCAAAGAGTTGGAAGATTGAACGGTGCGGAAACATTTTGAAGTGGTCTCAACGAGCCTCTACTAACGAACACATCTACTTCAACATAGCAGACATGGAAACGAAGTGGACGAGCAGGCGCCTCAACAAAGTACTTGCTTTTGAGGTGAAGAGCGGGAAGGGGAGAAAAACAGGAGGTATGCAGCATTGCAATGACAGACAAGTCCAATCAGAAACCCTCCCGCATTAAAACTAGTATATAGTAGTGTTTTTTCAATATGAGGGCATTGCTGGTTTTCTGTTCCTGGCAGGTTGACATGGCCGTCCGCACTCAGGAGGAGATGTGCAGGTCACTTGAAATTCTGCAGTGCTTTGGGGTTTTGTTCATTTCACACACACACACACATATATATATATATATATTATACATACACATATTTAGCCCGCTCCCCCCTCCCTACTTAATGAAGTAGGCGCCTACTTAATTAAGGAATTGGGGTAGCTAGTACCTACAAGTAAGCTACCACTTAGGACGCAGGATAGCTCACGCTTCGTCAAGGAAGCTTTAGGGCGGCGGGGGAGCTTGCTTGAAGAAGCGCTCGCACTAATGATTTGGTTTCTAGATTTTTAGGGGGACTTAAGATATGACTTAGCGGGAGAAAGCTTCTGGATTATTCGGTCCATTATTTCTGACGGTGACAGATGGTGTTGGATTCGAGGGTGAAAGACGGATGGTCGTGGCTACTTCAGACAAAATAGTCACCTGGTGAGTTCAATGAGTTGGAAAGCGCCTTCCAAGGCACTTTCTGCCAATCCTTCGGGACAAAGGCACCAGGATCAAGAAGAATGGCATGCGCTTGGCAAGGCAACAAGGGCAGGGCAAGATTGCTCGGTGCCTTTTGGTAAATAGACTCGCGACTTCGGATACTGGAGGTCACAACATCTTTTGCAGTCAACTAGATGAATGAATCGAACCATATTCACGGTGGCGCACCGCATGCCTTTTAGCTGCCAGCTCCAATTTTTGTATGCACTATCGCATATAAGAGGTACACTCCCTGAACTATAATATACGTAAATCATTGAATTCCTCCACAAGCAGGGGTTTTCCACTTCCCTGTGCACTGCAAGTTGGCAGCTGAGAGGCCGGCGCGACCCAATGAGGAGGTGTTGACGATCGTGAACGGCGAGGTCGTGGCAAGGCTGGTGAAAACTAACATTTTTTGGTGCTATGCTATGCCATGCATTGCAATGCTACTGAAGAGTTGTTAGATTCCTGATGCAGATGGGGAGTGGCCAGTCATTGAGTTTCTGTTTGACTGGATCGCCTTCGGATGTGTGTTTTGAAAAGCAAATCCGGAGGACAAACGCCACACACAGTGGCAGCATGGTCATTCGCCAGGACGGGGCAGCAAAAGCCGGACCAAGGTGGAACATGGTGGAACAGGTTAAATGACCTACTGCTCTTGTCACACATGTAAAGAACCACACTGGTCTCAATCATGCCAGAGCTGTGGGTTGGGGAAAGGGAGTCAAACTATGGAACACACAACCAATTTATTTAACAATAGCATTCATGATCATTCATGATTGTGCGTATCGCATGGTACTTTCAGCACTAACAGTTGAATGTATATCAGCTCTGCCTCAAATACCTTCAATCCTGGTCTGTTTTGTTCTGTACCTTCTTTCACATGTCTAAGTGCTTTCAAACAGTGTCTTTGTTACAGTGAACGATTGAACACAGCCCTTCGTCAATGTGATTCATGCTCAGGGTAGCCAAGGGCATGTCTAAAGATGCCTAACGGGACCGTGTGTGAAATATGTCTAAAGGCACACCTCTTGGCTGAAGAGTCTCTTCATGCAAAGTTTATTGCGACCACTTTGCAAGGAATCAGCCGACCACGAGTTCTACCTTTTGGACCCAGCAAAGTTTGCCAAGAATTACGACTTACCGGGCATTGATCCTTGGACGCCGCTTTAGGGAAACAACCACATGTTGAAACGACGAAGCTTCCTTCCCTGCACACACTGTTTGCAATAACGGTTGTATGAATAGCAGCTCACACTTTTCATTTTTTATTAAACGGAACGGAGCGCAGAACACACGCTGCAAGACGCTCGACGCCCAAGGATATCACTGAAGAAGGTCCCAGCTTTGATCAGCATCTTGGTTTCAAGCCGTAGCGGCAACATCCAGCAACTCTGGAAAGGCAAAACCCGGAAAAAAGCAATTTCTTTTCATATTTTTCAACCCCTGCAATGGCCTGTGAAGATTACACGATCCCTGTCCAACCTCAACCCTGAGAGTTGAATGGCATGGGCCACCAATGGCCCTGAAACTGTCCCACGTAGGTCCCATGTAGTCCCATTCAGATCAAAATGGATTTCGTGATTTGTTTTTAAAAAGAACTGAGATTCCATCTTTAAAATCCTTGCTCAACTTTGGCCGCTTGGAAGCGAGGCTGCGACAAAGAAACTTCAAGTACTTCCGCCGGAAGGGTGAGCTCCTGCTGTACCAGGCAAGACCTGAGGTTCACTTCGTGTGGAGTTTTGTGTTTTGCTGCAAAACTTGCTTATAGCCTGGCTTTGACTCCCCCCTTGAGGTTTGTCACACACTCTGACACTTGTATTCAGTGACTCAGTTACCACGTTGGGAAGGAAGGTGATGGAACAGCAAGGTGAAAAGGTCCAAAGACTTGAATTGTTGAAAAAAGTTTCACTCGCGCGGCTAGCTGCAAGGCACAAGCGGCTGACTGTAACTCTCCGGTGGCTGAGGACTGCGGTGGGAAACCTGTTTGAGGGGAGAGTATCGTGGTCAAACAACCATGGCATCAAAACACAGCAAGGAAGAGTGGAGTAGTGTCACGGCGCAGGTACGTCATCAGGCGTCCCTGATGATATCCTAGGAGCACGTGAGGAGCTTCGTTGGATGGAGCCTCACGTGTCCTCTCCATCCCCCTGCGTGTGGAAAGTGGTGGAAAAACGGTGAAAAGAGTGGCGGTGGAAGACCCTTTGTCCAGGGGTGGACACACACAGGTCGCCGTTGTCGGCGCTTTTTTCAAAAAACGGTGGCAGGCGTGGTGGTTGTGTCCTTTTTGGACATAAAGCCTCACTAGCTCGGCAGCAGCAGCTTCAGCGCTGGAGGATGTGTATTTTCGAATGGTGTGGAGTCTTGATTGGAGGCCTGATAGAGCCAAGCGCTGGCTCCCGGCGGTGGTGGAATCCCTGATTTTCCAGGGTTGGGAAGGTTGCATGTATGTGATGGTGCGTTGTGGGAGGTCAATGTTGAAACCGAGGAGATGGAAATCCTCTACCGGTTCAAGTTCCACTGGGTCGCCAAAGAAGTTGTGGTGGATGAGGGTTTGAATGGCTGGATGGTGAAGGAAATGTTTGTTGTGGACAATGAAGCGGTTGTCGACATATCTGTAGTACGTGAAGTGTAGGTCTGTGTGTTGAAGTAGGTTGTTGTGTATCTGATGCCAGGAGTGTTCGATGAGGGTGATGGCGACATTGCAAAGGGCTGGAGAGAGCTGGGAGCCAATCCCAGCTCCTCGGATTTGTTTGTAGGTGTTGTTGCAAGCCCGGAAAATGCATGTGTTGAGGGCAAATGCCACGATAGAATTGATGAGGTCTGGATAGTGTGTTGTGTAGGGTGTTTTCGATGGAGTCTGCCAATGTGTGAGTGGTGAAAAGGGTTGCCGGTAGCCTGGACATCCACCGTCAGGGTGTGTGTGGATTGCTGTTGTTGCCAGTGTTGGATGAGAGAGTGAACAGCATCGATGAGTCGGTGTTGTGGGACCGAGTTAAAGAATCCGACCAGGTCATCGTTGGTGGCGTGTAGTGAGATGTCTGGTGGGGTTTGAGTGAGGTAGCTGTGAAAATGGCGCCAAAGTTGGGGAATGGACATTTGGCCGGGATGTTGGCGGTAAAGGTGTTGTAGGATAATGTCAAGGGCACGGCTGGTGATGCGGAGTAGGTTGCCACTGAGTGATTGGAAGTATGAGATAATGGTGCGGCCTTTCTGCCAGTGCTTCTTTTCTTTGAGGTGGACGACGCCGTAGGGAATGTTGAAATCTTTGCGGAAGCCCCATTTGTAGCGGGTGCGCAAAATGGGGGGAACAGTGGCTGCCAGGTGGTCGTGAATGTTGGCGGCAGTGAGGTGGGGAAGTGGTTCGAAAAGTTCGGGGGATTGCCAGGTATTCAAGGCGCCAGTGAAATATTGGCGAGGGCAGAAAAGCCGGAGTTGTTGTAGTTCATGAGCAGCATGGTGGAGCAATGTGTGTTGGCCGAGGTATTCTTGGAGTTGGCGAAGCAAACGAGCGGTAAAACGGGGTTGCTGCTTGAGGTGCATGTTGTGGAGGCGCCACTGGTGCTCAAGGAATGGCTGCAAGTGTTGGACGAGGGATGGTGGGAGCCCTTGTAGCTTGAGCCATTTCGTGTAGGCCGTCCGGAACGTGAGGAAATATCGGGCCTTGCTTGGGTAGTAGGTGCTGTTCATGTTGGCGTTGAGAAAAATGCCGAAATGTGTAGGGAGTTGGAGTTGATCAAGTGTAAGAATGTAGTGGCCGTTGATGGTGGGGGTGTCAGGATTTTGCAGGAGGGTGCGAAGGTGGCCACAGGCGCAGGGGAGGTCGGCGGGGTCTGGCGGGGAGTGGAGGGCGTCTTCCCATGCGCGGTGGTTGTGTAGGTGAGAACGTAGTGTTTTGTGTGCGGCC